GGAAGGGACCGCCCGGGCGGCCCCGGGGAGGAGCCTGCGCGCGCCGCCCGCCCGGAAACCTGCACCCGCGCACGAGCGCGGGGAGAGCCCGCGGCACGGGACGGGGCTGATCCCGGTGCAATCCAGCTTTACTGCTCTTCGCTCCGCCGGCCGCCTGCTCTTGCCGCGAGTCCTGGTAGTGCGGGCTTGTAACTTGGCTGCTCCTGCTCGTAGCGCGGCCGTTGTTACGATTAGCCTTCCCCTTCCTAGCCTCGACTCCTCGTGTTGTTGCTCTTATTTTATTGCTGGTCTGATGACTAGTGTTACTGTTCTTATTGCTGCTGTTATGAGTACTGTTATTGCTATTCTGACTGCTGCTGTTCTTATTTTCACTATTATTCCCAGGATTATTACTGCTGTTGTTGCTACCACTGCTACTGCTGTGGTTGTTGCTATTAATATTATTGCTGCTGTTGTGATTGTTGTTATTATTACTATTATTCCTCGGATTATTAATGTTACTATTAACAGCAGCAACAATATTAATAGTCACGACCGCAGCAGCAATAGTGATAATCACCCCCACATTAATAATCCGAGGAATAATGGTAATAATCACAATCACAACAGCAGCAATAATATTAATAGTAACAACCACAACAGTAATAGTGACAATCACCCCGCACTAATAATCCGAGGAATAATAGTAATAATCACAATCACAACAGCAGCAATAATATTAATAGTAACAACCACAACAGTAATAGTGACAATCACCCCGCACTAATAATCCGAGGAGTAATAGTAATAATCACAATCACAACAGCAGCAATAATATTAATAGTAACAACCCCAGCAGCTATAGAGATAATCACCCCCACATTAATAATCCTGGGAATAATACTAATAATAACAATCACAACAGCAGCAATAGTGATAATCACCCCCACATTAATAATCCTGGGAATAATAGTAATAATAACAACAATCACAACAGCAGCAATAATATTAATAGTAACGACCACAGCAGCTATAGAGATAATCACCCCCACATTAATAAGCCAAGGAATAATAGTAATAATAACAATCACAACAGCAGCAATAGTGATAATCACCCCCACATTAATCATCCTGGGAATAATAGTAATAATAACAATCACAACAGCAGCAATAATATTGTGATTGTTATTATACTATTATTCCTAGGATGATTAATGTGGGGGTGATTATCACTATTACTGCTGTGGTTGTTACTATTAATATTATTGCTGCTGTTGTGATTGTTATTATTATGAGCATTTTGAGTTACAATGAATGGCACTTATGAGGTTTATAAATTGACACCCCGTTTCGGCTTTCTGATGTCCGTTTCGACTTTACGATGCTTGATCTGACGCAATGCCACACGAGTGAGCGAGGTCGCTGCATCACCATGCCCCTGGAGAACATCTGTCCAAACTTCCTCGGACACTTTCTTTAAGAAAGTAGATGAGACTCCAGAAAAACCTGCAGCCAGGACTCCTGAGAAGACTCCAGCCAAGAACCCTTCAAAAAGTCCAACCAAAAGCCTCTCAAAAAGTCCAGCAAAATCACCTCAAAGAAGTCCTTTCAAATCAATGATTGCTATTTACAATATAGATATATTAACGTAGCTATATTACTCATCTATAAGTAATTGAGTACAAAATTCGGGGGTATTTGGGGTGAAACTAGGGTATCAGGCCTCAGTTCAGGAACCAATCCCGCATTTATTACATTGTTTCTTATGAGAAAATTGGTTCCAAGTTGCAACGTTTTGACTTAAGACACGGTTTTCAGGAACAGATTGTGTCGTAAGTCCGAGGACGGCCTGTATTACTGCTGTTATTACTATCACTATTATTTCTAGTATTATTGCTGCTACTATTGTTATTACTATTATTACTGCTGTTGTTATTACTATTACTATTATTACTATGGTTGTTCTTACTACTATTACTGCTGTTGTCACTACTATTACTAGTATTACTACCGTTGTTATTGTTCTTACAGCTACTCCTCGATTAACATCGTACTTATGTTCTTGAAAAATGCGACTAAGTGAAACGATGCTAAGCAAATCCAATTACATCGTAGTCGTTACCTACTAGCCGGTGGCGGCCAAACAACATTATAACTGAATACTGCACGACCTTAAATGAGTATGTTCTCTAATAGATTGACAATGCAATAATGAAACAATGTTAACTGGGACAACGTTAAGTGAGGAGTACTGTGCTATTATTACTATTGTTGTTGTGCTAGATCAAGGATATCACAATTAGCCCCCATTTCCTAAATCAGCAGGGCCAACCTTTTTTGGGAGGCATGCCACAAATTAGCCCCACACCTTCACCCAGTCTCCTTCTCCTGCCTGATCTGCTGCTCTGCTCTGCTCCCTACCCGATCTGCCACCATGGTGCCTGTGCCCTCCCTGGTCAGCCATGAGCCACAGACAAAAGTGGCCTGTGACACTCATGGCATGTATGCCACAGGTTGGCCATCCCGGGGCCTAAATTACAGTATTATCTCTTAACATAAAAGAAGTGAGTGATGTTTGGGCTGAAAAATATGCTTTGCTTCCAGCAGTGGTAGCAGAGAGACCAACAATTGCATCGCACATCTGTAACTCTGCAGTTCTCATTCCCCCCAGGCCTGCCTGCATACTTCCTATGAGCTCTAAGGGACTTTAAGGCACTTATACTCTTGTCTGGTATTTTTAACATTCACTTTGCACCAGTATAATTTTATGACAACTGAAAAACCTTCATTGGGAACTTCACCTCCCTTATAGGTTTGTACATTTCTCTTCATCTGCTATGAGCTGGAAAGGTATTAACTAAGGGCTTGTTTAGACCTTAGTTCAAGTGGTACAAATGGATAATGTAGACCAGGAGTGGCCAACCCGTGGCATGGGTGTCACAACTGGCACCAGCAGCCTCTGTTTGTGGCTTGCGGCAGATCAGGGAGCAGAGTGCATGCCTACCAAAGGGGTTGTCCCCACTGATACAGACATGCCACATCAGTGCAAAACAGGGCCTGTACCACGCACATGCCTTGGAGCCACAGGTTGGCCACCCCTGCTCTAAGGGTTTGCACTGCTGTAACCATACCACCCTAAAATTATTGTAGTCTACATTAGGAATAAAATTTCAATCCTACAAATACACAAGGGAGTAATCCCACTTATCCCTGAACTTACAGGTGGTCCTGGAGAGGCAAATGCTCATATGGACGCAGGATGTCGTGCATTATCTACAGGATCACAGACAAGGAGTTTACTCAGTACTTGTAGAAAATCATAGTGATGCAAGATAGGGCAAAAAGGAACCTAGTCTATTCCCTTTCCCCGAGATGGAATCAGCCATCCTGAAGAGAGATTTGTCTAACCTGGGGCTGTCCAACTTCTAAGTGGCTGGAGGCTGTACACGGTACATGCTGCGCACCCAGCAGCTGCACTAATGCATGTGGGAATGCCACTTGGCTGCACCGTGTGTGGCCTCTACTTCAGCTAGGGAGCTGCACCATGCTGCAGATTCCCCCGGCACCGTGCGCTGCACTGCTGCATGCCCTGACATGGGAGCAGGAAGCAAAAGGGAGGGCAGGGGAACATAGAGACCCTGGTGTCAGCAGCAGCCAGAGCAATAGATGGAGTCACTAGGTGGGAACTTGGGGATCACAAGGTAACCTCTCCCAGGTTTCATGTGGCCTGTCAGTTGGACAGCCCTGGTCTAACCAATTCTCCATGGTCTCCAGCAAAGGAAATATGAAAGAGATTCCACAGCCACCCTAGATAATATGGTCCCATGCTTGACTCTCTTTAGAATTAGGAGAGATAAGAATTATAACTAGGAGAGTTAGAATTAGAAAGTTGTGCTCCCTCCTTCCCCTGCAATGTCTAACCTGCATCTCTCTCTCTGTCTCGTAGCAAGTTAAATCCACTGTAACTTGTCCTATTCTCAATGAACACAGAGAACAAATTATTACTCCTTTTTTTTTTCCTTGTAGCAACCTTTGACCTGTTTGAAGACTATCATCAAGTCTCAACTCAAGTCTTCTGTCCTCAATACTTACTAAATAAGCCCAGTTCATTCACTCTGTCCTCATAGGCCCTCTGATCACCTTTGTTGCTGGATTCTCTCCACTTATTCCTATCTTTCTTGAAGTGTGGGCCCCAAAAGTGAACCTGTACTCCAGCTGAGGCCCTACCAGTGCACAGCAGAAGCATTATGCTACGTATCTTACCTAGGATACACCTGTTTATACAGCCCAGTATGGTGTTTGCTTTTTTCCACAACAGTGTGACATTGCTGATTCACATTTCTTTTATGATCCAGTATAACAATCCAGTCCTTTTCTGAAGAACTGCTCCCTAGCCAATTGTTACTCATTTTCTGTTTGTCTAGTCAATTATTCTTACATACATGTCTCATTTTGCACTTGTTCTATTTAGACCAGCCCATTTCTTCAATTGGTCGAGATCACTTTGAATTCTCATCTTGCTCTGTAAAATGCTCGCTACCCAAGCATGTCTGAAGGATCAAGGCCAAAGTTAGCACCAACTAAGCTCGATTTTGACCCCTATTTTTCAAGCTGCACTTACAAGCCATACTACTAAACAATGTGTCACTGAAAAATGAGTGTCCACATAAAGATGTAGGTTAGTGATCTGTGGTAGTAATCATCATTACTGATTCCAAGGCACTTACTCTGATAATAGCACTTCCAAGAAATTTCCCAGTCAAATATTGACCAAACTAACCTTGCGCAACAGTAAAATAAAGTTTGCAGAGGATGTGACTTAGAACAGGAACTACTCACGTATCCATGCCAAGACTGAAGTAGAATGGAAACTCTGGCCATTCTTAATATATTTAATCATCTCTCTTCTCTAACCCCAGAAACATATCTCCGGCATACAGACAGCTTTTGGAACAAAACCAGATTGCCCTGGGCAAATTGTTGCTGTTGGTTCTGAGCTCCCCCAAAGCATTCTACCGCACAAATAGTTCTGCACACATTTGTACTGTATTACGTTACAACCAAGGCAGCAGAACCGCACACATGTTCAGGAGCAATCTGGCATAGCATGCTTCGGTGATCTTTGTATTGGCCAGGAAACTACTCGGGCTATCAAATTGCTAGGAAAGAACCCAATAGGATTTCAGAGATATGACACAAGGAAGTAGACAATTGAAGAAATAAAACACTTTGACAAGAGGGCCATTGAAAAGGGGAATAAAAATATTCAGCATAGGGAATCATTATAGACACTTCATGTAGTGCAAGAGGGGAATCTTGGAGCTATAGATAGAGCATGACCTAGACAGAGGAGAAAATACTGACCACCGCGTATTTCCCATAAAGGTAAACAATGCCCAGAATAAGAGCTTGGGAATTATTTAAAATAGGGCATATTATTGGAAAGCGCACTACACTGGTTTGTTCTGATGGCTGCAGCTATTCTTGTGCGACTAGTATTCAGAACTACCCACAGTCCCTGTATACTAGTATATCACCGATTAGTAATTGATTTGTGCCATATCATAGAGATTTTTGTCCGCCATAAGCACATGCTGTGTGAATAATGGCTGGAAGAACAATAGTGAAAGCGCATCACGTGCCTTGTTGAAAAGATGATAAAATTATATCAGGGTACATAGAGAAATAAAGGATTATCAACTACCTGCTGATGGGGAGCTTGAACCAAAACCTCTCTCCTCTATGCAGCAGGATGGGGCCCTAGGGTGGCCGTGCTCTCCCCTAAGGGTGCCCTTAATACCATGCCAAGCGTTCTCTAAGCATCCTCAGAATCTCATCTGCCATGTCTTTGATCTTTATGTATTTATTGTAGGGAGGCTGCCCTTTGTTCCTTTGGCTACAGTTTTCCTGCTATGTGCCAGACCCGCCTCGGTCTCCCTGGCACTTGGGCGCTCTACAGCCCTGCCTCACTCCGCACCCTGCTGATGCTCTGTCCCTTCACAGTCTCGTCTTGCTCGGGCTCTCTGGAGTCCCGCCTCATGCTGCGCCTCACAGTGCTCAACATCAGTCACTGCCCCTCTCTCTCTGGGGCTTCTCGCTCACCCCGAGCCTCACTGGCGCTCAGGTTCTCCACGACCTTGTTTGTTCTGCCTTCCGGGATACTCGGGGTCAGCCCTGTCCCAATACTGCGCCTTTTCCTGGCGCTCAGGGATGGCATCCCCCTGTGCTGTGCCCTTGCCGATGCTCTGGGTCAGCGCCCTCCCTGCGCTGTCCCTTCTGGCAGTCTGGGAGGCACACTCCTTCAGCTGCACCCTTTTTGGCATAATGGTCGCTGCTCCCGTGCTGGAGCTTCACGGTTACTGCCCCCTTTTCGGGGCTTCCCCCTTAGCTGCCCACTCTCCGGGGCTTCTCCGCAATGCTGCCCCGCTCCCCGGGGCTGGGGTCCACACTCTGACGTGGTTCCCCTATGAGGCCTCCTCCATCCCCTTATAGCCTCTCCCAAACCGCCGGTGTAACAACAACCAAAAACACAAGCCCCTGGGGAATATAACACAAATCTATGCCTCGGGGATAAAACATCCTCCGAACCACACCACAGGTGTTTCATGTCTCACCCACGTCACTAGCTGCTTGCACAGCCAGGCCTTTTCCTTTTCACTCATTCAGGGCCAAACTCCTTCCACCCTGGCTGCCAGCACACCCTCGCCACCTTAGGCCTGCAATTTATATTAGAGCCAGACCCTGCTCCTTTCGGTCACATGGCCAGACAGGTGTGTGTCCTTAGCACCCTCTGGTTGCCCCTAGCAACTGGCACCTGAGCCATTACTCCGGCTCTCCAAGTAGCAGGCACCTTGGTGCCCTGCTACACGCAGCGATGCTTTTTTTTTTTCCATTCCCGCTAAAAAGGGATTCAGCAAATGCTAAATGGAAAGCACTGCCTATTTTCCAGTTCCCATTAAATTCTGTGTATCCAGTGACTCATGTATTACAACAGTCTAGTCTCCATAGAACCTTTCCTGTGTTTGCTCTATTTGCAGCCGTCGAACCCCATTTTCTAGGCTGCACATTTATAAAGAGTAGGCAAGAAACAGGAAATATTGAGAACGTGTCTTGAAGTTATCTTGGACCAAAACAGAAGAGTTATTTACTGAGAATCCAGCAATTTGCTCATGTTTTTAAACCAAAGCTTTCAGAGTTAATCTCTGGAAATAATGTTTGTAACCTATTTTAATGCACTTTCTGGATACAGTTGTCTGGGAATAGAAGAGAGACAAATGATTTATTATCCGGGGATATAATACACTGGGGCCAGGGATCCAATCTGTGGGCTTCACAAGGGGTTTCATTTGGCATGCTAATCTTCATCACAAAATGCCTTTCTGTGCAAGTTCCTGCTTTAATGTTCAAAAAGAGCCCACATTTGCTCCTCAGTAAAATATATTTATTGTAAATCCAGCAACATCAGGGTTTAAATGAAGGCTTAAGGCTTTATGGTTCCCAAGATAACCACTATCACACGAATTAAAGGCAACCCATGCGGAGGTGTCTGTTCAAGAACTAGGAACAACTGCTGAGCTAAGAGGTGTGAGTTGCCCGTATTCCACAATAGCACCCACACCTGTTGCACGGCACCTGCTAGCATCCTATAACAAGCTTCAGACTTCTGAAAGCCTCAAAACATACAAAAGACTTGATCTCAAAAATAACTGTGGTTCAGAAAAATTGATCAGGAGACATCTAGGGTGTTGCCAATGCCCCAAACCACAACAACAGTACATCATTTTAAAGTAAAATATGCCCACATCATTCTAGAAAGTGGACTGTGTGTCCTGCTACAGAGCAAGGCAAAAAACAATGGTCCCTGCCAATCTGCTCAAGGGGGTGGGTGGAGGGGGAGGCAGTAAATTGCTTGACATTAATTTGGAAACTATTTTAACCCTATGCATCTAAGTGCCAGGAACAGATAAACTTTGAAGATTACACAGACTTCCCCTGTATAGAAGGATGCAAAGCCTTAAGGAACTGAAGGGAGTCCAATGACGTATCAGACCCCAGTGAAGGAAAGCCAAGTCCAAGAAGTACAGAAGGCCCTTTGGGCATCTTCAGACCACTGGAAACAACTGAGCCCAGAACAGCAAGGATGATCTTATGTTGAACATTTACACAATATACCCTCAGCGACAAAGCATCCAAAAAGAGATTTCAATGAAATAATTGTTTCCCTATTCCCTTTCTATTTTAGCTGGTGGATTTTTAAGGATTTATACATTTTTATAGTCTTTTAAATGGGATTAAAGATGGTATTACCTGTTCTTTTATGGGAGAGAAAGTTAGCCAAGAAGATCACTTCTGTCGATGATGGTCAGTTCTATCTTCTTTATGGGAAAACAGGGAAAGAAAAGAGCAACAGAGAGATAAAACAGCTTTCATTTCAACTGCAGACTTTCAGTTCCAGCCTAGCTGCTAGGAAAACACAGGCTTAGCAGATAGTCTTATCAGCTATTTAAGATCTGGCCAAACTTTATCAACAGCAAGCTATTTAAGCTGCTGTTCTGGCCACAGGCTAACCAAACTACTGCAAATGGTGCAGCTGTCTTAAACATCTCCACTAAATTCATGTCAGACAAAAGATAAAATGGGAGAAATAGGGGAGAGAAAATAGGGAATGAAAATGACACAGCGGCAAAAGCAGGGACCCAAATCTCACACCCCCAGGGGCCTTCCCGGGTTAGTCAAGCTGATGGAAGTGGTAAGATCATTCAATTTCCTTTTTCTGGGCCTTGGTCTCAGCAGGATACTCCTCAGCCTCAGAAAAATGAAGATCTTTTGGGTCTCAGAATATCAGGAGACAGCACAGTGGTATTTATACTTGGTCTTCATAGTCTAAGCATTTCTCCCATAGTCACCTCCTAACAACCAAGCTCAAAAAAGGGATGACAAAAGTCACCCTATTCCCATTAACCAAGCAAAACACATTTTTGGTGATTTCAAGTAAAAACATCTTCTATTTCTAGAATCTTTCCCCCATCAACTACTGATTTTAGACCAGGAATCTAAAAAATCCATTATCCAAACGCTAAATAATTTGGTGGCTTAATTCTCTTTGTTTCCAACAT